GGAAGGGGGGTTGGACTTTGTGCAGGGAGAGGGTGCCGGTGGTCTGTTGGTTGGATGTTTGGTCCATGTGGGGATTGCGAAGTTGTTTTGGTGTTGTGGATGGGCCATATATGGATTCGTAGGTGTGTCTGGTTCTAATCGACATTGGCCTGACTATGTCTCCCGCTGTGTTGGAATTGGCTTTTCCTTGTGCGGGTTTGAGTAGCTGTTTTGTAAGTGCTTTACTTAAGTGTATGTTTTGTCTATGTTGGTTTGGCAATGTTTATACGAGGGGATTGATTTTCTTGGTTGGTTTTCCTTTGTTCGTTGCTCAGTTTTTGATTTTATATCAGGTTCTCTATTATCACGGGCATGGATTTGTCTTCTACGGCTGTTCCTATTGAGGTGTGTCGGCATGATCGATTGAGGAAGCGGATGTTGTGCCGGTCGCATTTGTTTAGTTAGATAGTTGTCTTTTCTATGCTTTTGAATTTTGTTATAGGGGTTGTTTTATTTGATTATTTACAAGTCCACTCTATTGAGTTGTAGGTCGTCTTTGAGGTCCGATCTTGGCAGTGGTGGTCGTTGGAGAGGGGATAACGGCTTCTGGGTGGCATGCCACCATTTTCTCTGTGCTCTGCCGCTGATCTGGAACCGCCGCTTCTATGGTTGGTGGATGTGAGTCTCTCTTCATACCTGTTCCAAGTGATCAGTGAGACGGCCCACGCGCGTGTGTTTTATGTTTCTCGCAGTCACCACACGTCCTCTTCCTGCCCCCTGCTGCTCTTCTGGTGCTCCTGCTTCCCTACGCCCTCCTGCGCCATTGTGGAAAGAGGGTGAGGAGGTTGCGACGAAGACAAAATCATTGTTGCTAATGTTCATATGCAGGAGTAAATAATATAGCTTTTATTTGTCACGCCTCTGAACGTTTCATCTGTAATGAAGAATCATGCTCATCTGCTGCAGGTCAGTGATTGTTCTCATTATAAGTTATGTTCTTCTCTCTGACAAATAATCTTAACAAATTACAATGATAATTCAGGTGTTGCATACACTAGGATGTTATGCATATGTGTTTGTACTGACGTTTGTTGTTATTGAGATGATCCAAGTGTTGGATTTGGAATTCGTGTTGCACTAATTGATAATTTATCTGTGGATTAGAGTCATCCAAATATGTTTCTTTTTTCACGGTTTTAGTTAGTAGACTGCAACCTTGAATGTTACATAATAATGCTTAATGTTTGTTTGGAAAAAAGTCCTACTGAATATTTTGGTGCCAATGAACTTTTAACCTAAATATTAGTAACCGTTAGCAGATACTACATGGATAAACCATAATTAAGCAACTACTAGGCAATTTATATTAGTGATGTTTTCATTAAATGATGTGAAATGAATTTGAACTATCAATAGGTGGGTGGGCTGCTGTTGGACTTGCCCTGTCGAATTCTGAGGATACAGACTTTAATATGCAAGGGAAGTGGTTTCAAAGATATATTTGTTGGCTCGATCAGCTTCTAATGTGCTTATTCACATCTTTATTTCCTTGCTTTGCGGGCCAAGTGTTCAAGTCCAGGAGTTGTCTGGAAGAATGCAGTCTATGTTGAATGATCAAATTCGCGACATTGTTGTGTTTCTAGACCACAAATCTG